GTAACCGGATCATTTCCTAGTGCTCTCAGCCAGGGGAAGAGGGGAACAGGCAGGATTCTGCAGATGAGAAGCCGTGATAGGTGGCAGAGGAAGGGCTCCGGCCGGCTTCCCGTGACCGCCGGCGTGGACGTAGCGAGGCTCGGCACCACGGGCCGTATCGCGCCGGCCCACCCGGCTCAGGAAGTGCCGCGCGGCCGCTGTGCTGCTCTCTTTTGGTCACTTCCCACTCTTCTTTTTTTTCTTTTTTTTTATCTCGCTCGCCCACTGGGGCTCGATAGTGGCCTACACGTTCTCGCTTCCCGCTGCCCCCATTCTTCTGGGCTGGGGGCTTGGCTGTCCATCAGCGGTGGCAGGGTGTGTCTGTGTGTGTGTGTGTGTGGGGGGGGGGGGCGGTGCCTTTAATCAAGGGGCCGCACAATCATAGGAAATCAAACGGAGAGTAGAAAATGACTCATTTCCATATATTCAGCTCGAATCTCCAACACAAATAAGATTGGAGTGCACTTAACTGAGACAGGGGGGCCGGTCGGCATTCCGGACCCTTACCCGACTTCCGGGGCACAATGCTGTGGTGGTGTCAGCTGGGGGGCGGGGGGAGGGCGTGTTATCAGCGCGGTGGTGGTGACGCGCGGGGCGGAGGAAGGCCTCGAGGGCCTGTGTCACTTAGATAATTCTCCACATGGAAGTTATCTGCCCCAAGCTAATAATAAGGGCCGGTCAAGTTGGGCCGTACGAGCCGGTGACGGCACCCTGTGATGCGTGCTGCCAAATTTAAATGGAATATGTGGTGTAATGTTACCGTGTGGCTGGCGGGGAGACGCGCAACCTGTTTGCCTCACACTTTTAGCTCTGCTTTTGATTTTGCGTGACAAAATAAGCACTTCATTGGGTCTGTGCTATGCTGTGTAATATTATGGCCTATGTATGTCATGTTGTGCTGATTTACGGGACGTGCTGTTTTCAACTCTACTGCCTTTGAGCGCTTAAATTCACTCTTGTCTCTGTCGAGGGTTTGTCTCCCCCCCCCCCCCCCCCCCCCCCCCCCCCCCTTTTTTTTTTTTTTGGACCCCCCCCCCCCCCCCCCCCCCCCGTGGATGGGTATCAGGTGATTGGGCTGTGGGATGGCGTCGGGGCGATCCGAATCGCAGAAAAGTCGTGCCGTCGTGGATTAAGGCGGTCGATGTGGAACGGTAAATTAATTTGGCAGTTTCCCCTTGATCTGTAAGAACAACACATATGGGAACAAAATCTGCAATTTAATACTGCGTACTGCAATAAGGACTTAATGGAATTGCTGCGTTTTAGAAAGTAAAGCTAATATTTCTTCCGTACAGTCTTGAGGAGAGCGCATATCCTGGTGTGGAAAAACAGCAAACAAATAACAAGTATAATCTAAGGAGATGGTGTGTGGTGTGTGTGTAGATATTTCCTGTGGGACTGTGAAGCCTCAAGCTGTTTTTCCCGCACAAGAATTTTACTGTAAAAGAAGACAATTTGATGTATGTATCTATAATCCAGTTACACGTAATAAATAATAAATAAAAAGTTCCCTCATCCCTGTCACTTTTGAGTATGAGCAGGACGCTCAGCGAGTTAATGTGGACATTCGTGTCTGGGTGTGTTTCCTAGCTCATAGTGCACAAACGTGTAACAGAGAAAAACTTTATTTGCTTTACACTGCCTGGAATAGAGGACTTTTTAAACCCACAGGTGCCATTGAAGTATCGCCGAGATGTGTGGAGATTATCGTTTTGTTTCCTGCACGAAACGTGTTTGCCTGCCACGTTACTGTTCTGATGTTGGGGATGCCTTAAGTAATGTAAAAGGCCAGCTTTTAGAAAACGCTGTCAGTATACCAGGATGTTGTTCCGCGAGAATGCTCGTGGAAACAGCGAGGAGGACGTCTGAGAATATACCTTTCTTTTTTTGTGTGTGCAAATGGCAGTTAAAAAAAAAAAAAAGAAGAAAAAAAAAGTCGGCATTTGTTGGGAATTCTGCTGCGGGAATTCCTACATGCTCAGAATATCTGCGGGTGGGAGGGGCTTCTGACCTGTCTAAGGGGAACCCCCCACTGCCTCCTACATTCTGCCTGGCCTGAATAGCTGCCACACAATGCACACAGCTTTCCACCCCCTAACCCCCCCGCCCCCCCGCGCTTACCCCTTGCCCATCTTTTGAAAGGAGTGACACAGCAGGGTCCTAATGGCTGGACTTTCTGCCCAAACGGGTCGATCCCCTGGGAACCGGCGAGGTGCGTGTGTTTGCGAAGCCCAGGATGGGTACGGGCCGGATCGGTGCCGCTCGTGGGGGGCGTGACGGGTCACGCGGACTGCTGCAAAGGGGGGGCCCCGGGGGGGTCTGGTGAGAAATCGTCCGTGGACAAAAAAGTAGGCGTAAAAAATAGCCTGTCTCCACTTGCCTGGCTCCTGCCATCAGAGCACGGCCTATAAAACTTTGTGAAAACACTTCGGAGATGATTTGAGAGGGGGCCTGACCTCCGTCTGCCTGCCTTCCAGCATCATCCTCAGAAAAATTGAAATCGGGAACGAGCGTCTGTCCTCTATGGGCTTCATTTTGCGCGCGAAGACATCGAGGAAACAAAAGTAATAATGACAGGAGGTGAATGACAGAGAACGAATGAAAATACAGTTTTATTCACGCGTTTCCGACTGCCTGAGGTCCACTCCGCTGGTCTGAGGTGAGGCTTTGCCGATTCGCCAAGGAGCAGAAGAATGACTGGCACCTTTAAATTCCGAAACAAAGGAACTGGTAGCACCAATTATGCAGCACTGTGAGCTTGCAGATCAGGGCGGATTACCCTCGATTCCTGTGATAATGTCAGCCAGCGCCTTTGAGGGGGAAGTGGTATGGAATGAGGAATAAGGAGATGGGGGGAATGGAAGGAAGAAGGAGTGGAGAGAGAGATCGAGAAGAGGAGACAGATCAGGATGCGCATGCATCTGTGTTACAGGCTCCTCATCAGCAACAGGCTGCTAAGGGAGAGTGATGTGTGTCTGTGTGCTTGTGGGCTCCGTAACCCTCACACCCCCAGCCCATGCCCTCTGCCCTCCCACCCGGAGCGGGTGCTGCCACACGCTGGCAGAATGCGTGCCATTTCATGGGCCATGTTGCTAGGAAGAGCCACGCCATCGCCGGTCACTACCAAGCTGTCAAAAACCATTAGGCCGCCCCACGACACAGCGCCTCCTGCTGGATTTAACAAGGACGCGAGTTCCTTTACGGGGCAGAGTCAGGTGCCCAGACAGACAGCTGGTGTCAGTTCGGCCCCTAGACCGGACCCCGTCTGCGCAGCTGCCCCTGGCAGTGAGGGGACTTCCTGTCAGGGCTGGGGGGGGTTAAGCCATACAGATCCTCGAGGTCAGGATTAAGTGAAAACAACCTAATGAAACATGCGATTGGGGAGATATCAGGCCGTGGCGGCGAGCGAATAGCACAGCCTGCCTCGGACGTCAGAGCCTCCCTCCCCTTCCCTCTCCCTCTCTTCCTTTCTGTCACTTTATCTAGCGCTGGCTTCTATTTCTCCAGTGCCGCCTGGGACAAGCCCCGGGTTTATTGTTTTAGGCTTTAGCCGAACGCCGAGCGAACTTTTTAACGCTGAATCGGAGGGCATTTGCTTCCAATGAAAATCCCGTCTTGGATTACACACCAGCGGTGTGTTTCCCCTTCCCCAGACGGGAGCGGGGTAAATATGTTTGTCTAGAAACAGTAGGAAGAACTAACCGTGCATTAAGACGGGGATGTTTTTGGCTTAAGGTGGTGATGTCATATTGGGGGAGGGGGAGGGGGGCGGAGCAAGCCGGCTGGTCACTTTCACAGCGAGCGGGGCGAGAAGCCCCCGCTTTGCTTAAAAGCTTTTCCTATTGTAGCTACAGAAATCCGCACTTAGGAATCTGGCTTTTTGCAGGCCTCTCCTCCCATTGGCCAGGAAGAGGGCTGGCTGAGTGTTTCATGCGGAATACTGAAGGTCTCCCCCCTGCTAATGGTATCTATAATTCAGGTGCCCTAAAGGCGGCTTTCTGGAATTCTTTGGCCCGAGGTAATGGGGAGCCAAATGCTGTTTAAAGACCTTTATTATTCTATCGGTTCACAAAGCTGGAAAAAAGTAATCTCCCCTGGATTACTGCCGAAATTCCCATTAATTATCGACGAAGCCGCCTTGCAGACAAAGGGTTAAAGTGCGTGCGTTTGGCCGGACGGACTGGAGTGGAGTATAACTTGAGAAATTCTTGAATAATTGCATTCTGCTTTAAGATGCTGAAAGCTGGCCGGGGGTGGGGGGGGGCATTCTTGTTTTCCTCACTCGTAACTTCGATGATTTATTATTTTATGCGGCGAATTGCTTCATCTCGGGAAAGGTTATGGCAATAAGAAACGCGGCGTTTCTGGCTTATTCGGTTAGTGCTTTGCGGTGCGATTTGCATAGCATGAGGCTCGGTCCCTGCTGGAAATGAGCAGCCGTCTCCCTGCCTGCGTTTGAGCTCCTGTAAAGAAACCTTCATAAGCACCTGTTCAGGAGTGTTATTAGAAATCTGGAGTTTGCACCCTTCCATTCCATATATGTCTTTCACTTAAAGTTAACCGTGTCCAAACAAGTTGGAATGGAGATGTCACTCTGGCAGTGAGGAGCTTTTATAAATATGGCTTTTAGCTTACTTGCTTCGTGTTTCTTTGTGTCGAAGGCCCAGCAGCGGCTTTCGTTTCTCAGTTCAGGGGCGGGGGGAACGTAAAATTAGCTGCTGTTTACATTCCGCCGCAAAGCTTGAGCTAGCGATAGCGGCAGCGCCATGATTCGGATGTGTAGCTGCGCTGCGGGCAGCCCGATCGCCATTGACGTCTCATGTTCTCCCACCCGCAGGCGACGGTCTGGACAACAGTGTGGCCTCTCCTAGCACGGGGGACGACGACGACCCCGAAAAGGAGAAGAAGCACAACAAGAAGCGAGGGATCTTCCCCAAAGTCGCCACGAACATCATGAGGGCCTGGCTCTTCCAGCACCTGACGGTAAGTGTAGCCTTTATCTGGATCTGCTGCGTCGGCTGTTGCTCACCCCCCTGGGGAACCCCCATCCCCTGATCCGTGGCCGCCCCTTTAAGAAGTACCGTTATTGCCTAATCCATGCACAATCTTGCCAGACAGGAAACCAGGGTTTAAATCCAAGGACTTTTTCCTCATCCGTGTGTGGATAGGGCCTCTGGTTACTGGTTAATGGCTATGTGGTAGTATCTGGCAGTGATTTTGATCTGAGAGTAACATTTATGTGCAAATAGGCGTAATACTCTGTAGGAGTGATGGATCCTTATCGCTGTTTTGCTGTGGACTAGTAACCACATCAAAGGCAGGAGCTAGCGGCATGGTTTAGCGAGAGGCTAACGCCGCTCTCAGTTGGCTGAGCCAGTCTCTGTCTCGTGCATGATGGTAGTCTTCTCCTTTTCTGGGGGTCAGTCCCCAAGATCCAGATGTTCGATGTTGACAGTAACGAATGGCTCCACCGACGACAACCACAGCATGTTATGATCTTGACGGATTCAAGTGTTCAAGAATCAGAAAGCATTGACTTTGATACTCAAGATCAAACACAAACAAGAGATATGATCTTGTAAGGTTCGACACCATAAAATCTGATAGGACGACCGTGTCTATGGTTGAGGGGGCCTGGAGAACAGCCCAAGATGGTGCTGAATGTTTCACTTGAGCACTCAGCCTTTGCAGTGGTTGGTGCCACGCCTTCAGAACATCTCATATCTACCTCACCCTGCGTTTCGGAAATCAGTCAGTGATAGATTGATGACAGGCTGGGCCTTCCTCCTGAAGCTTGAGCGATTTATGCTCTTGTCGCGGTGAAAGCTGTGGCAAAACTGGTTTTCGGGTACACTGGTTTCCAGAAGAGAATTTCGTGGGAGCGAGGGCCCGTCAAACGCAGGGCACAGCCTAAACCTCCAAGCGATCCAACAAAAGGCTTCAGAAACATATGGTTCAGGCAGGAAGGGCTGCTGCTAGTGTATTCAGGGAGGTTTGCCCCCCCACCCCCACCTCCACCACCCCACTTTTAGCTTGGGTGTGAAGTGATTCATGTAGAAAAGGCATTAATTATACGGCACAATGTTCGCAGTTGTTGATTAGCATCTAGGGGAGAAAGAAAAGCAGGTCATTGGGACCCCCCCCCCCCAGAGAGTGTGACTGGCGGGGGGAGGAAAGGAGGTAAGGTATGTAAGGAATGAACCAAAGGGTCAGAACGGGGGAGGACGTGATGTCAAACAGGATGGTTGATTTATTTTGCCCTGGCTCATTTGGGGTGCCCATGACTGGCCAAATTACCTGATCCAGAAAGGCCCGAAAAACCGCGGAAGGTCCCTGGAGCAGGCGCTGGCGCGCAGGCGAGGAGAACAGGAACCGTGTCTGTGACAGAGTGACTGTGGTATGAAAATAAACAAACGTACATGTTGGAATGCTGTCCAGAACTAGGGTGTATTATTGTGAAGGAGATGGTCAGGCCTACCTAGACACAGACCTGAGGGACCTATTTCATAATCCCGACATGTCGGACTACTCCGGAATCTTCTGTTTTCTTAATGAATGTCATTAACTTGCTGTCATAGAATAAAGAACGGTTTGTGCTGGCTTGTGTTGTATTTTAACGCGACCGATGTTCAAACCTGTTTTTTCAGCGCTCATTGCCAAAATACGTGTGTGGGGCCTTTAAGAAAAAGAGCGCACTTGACGTGGAATGTCTCTGTCACCACTGGCCCTGTCCGGTGCCTGAGGAGTGACATCCCGGCTGTGTGCTGCTTTCTGTTCCCACACCGTGTCACGGTGTCAAAGGCAGCCGTGACAGGAAAAGATCCATGGGAAGCAGGGATCAAATAGGTGAATAGGGCATTTTATTTGGCGCCTTGGAGTGTATCAGACAGGAAACTGCAGATCTCACTTCAGCATATGGGACTGAGAACCAGTGAGAGCTGGACTAGTGCATCCAGTGACTATCTTGATTAACTCACATGATTGTAGCCTAGTAGCCTTGGATAATTAATTGCAAGCGAGTAACAGGGCTTGTCCCTTGAGCTGGCCCCTCCCCTGAAACATCTCTGCCTTCCCCAATCAGTCACATGACTATGGCGATTATGTCATCAGACGGGGACTCTGTTGCGCCGGTGCGGTCGCCTCCCAGCTTGAGAATATGGCATCTATGCGTCCGTGTATTTACAGAAGTGGCAACCTGGCCTGAAGCAAGGAATCGCCCATTGTCCCCTGCCCCCCCTCCCCCCCTCCCTCCCCGGCTCTCGTTTGTTCTGGTTATCGTAACAAAAACAGTACGATTGTGCCTAGCATCCTGGGTAGCCATGGTGGGCAACTTTGTTTTCCTGTTCCCTCTGTAACTCCCCCACCCTATCTCACCGTCGGTATTTTCTCGTCTAATTGAACGAGAAATGAGTAGTAAACGAAAGGCGCCGACTGCGACCCCCTGCGCCTGCGGCTTGCATGGGCGTGGGGGGGGGGCTCCCCAATGAAAAGGCAATTTGTGAAATGATGTGATAGAATAATTAGACGCATTGCGGGCACTGGGAGGCCGGCCCGGGGCGGTGCGTTATTACCCTGGCAGGCACTGTGCCTGTTTGTATACAGAGTGTTTAGCAGGCGGCAGGGAAGGGGGGGGGACGCCGATAGCAGCTCGTAAAAGCAAACCACAGTCCGCTGCTCTGCTCCTGCTTTCTCTTTCTTTCTTTCTTTCTTTCTTTCTTTCTTTTTTTTTGCCGTGTAAAGATTGAACTGGAAGGCATGAAGCCTGTTAATGCAATTAGGGTATAATTTACCGGCACGGCGAGGTAGCCACGCAGGGACGGCCGCATTAACCCCCCCCCCTCGCGAGTGCGCTTAACGAACCTGCGCGTCCTGAGCAGAAACAGGTGCGTCTGGCACTATAACTCATTTCCGCACCGGCTCGCTGGCGGGGCTCGGGGGGGGGGGGGGGGGCCCCCCCGGGCCCCCCGCCGGTGGGTTTCGGCCCGGGGGGGGGGGGGGGGGGGGGGGGTGAGCCTGGCCATTTGGCCGCCTCTTCCCCGGCCACGTGGCTGATTCCGGAGACGGCGTCTCGGGTTAAACCCTCCGGGGGTGACACCCGTCCCAAAGAGGGCATAACGACGGCAATTAGCATCTGCATTCGGGGGAAATCTGAGGCAACTAACGCTATGATACATAAAATGCCGTATCTTGGTGGCCGGCTTGACACGCCCCGGACCGCCTTCCTATCACCATGGCGATGGTATTGACGGTGACACTGCGAATATACCTCAGTCACAACACAAACTGATTCCCCTTAAAACCTCCCCCTAACTTTCCCTGGCATATTTTGCCACCCCCACCTGGATGCCTTTCTCTAAACAAGTCCAGGCATGGGTGCAGTTAGCTCGACTTTTTGCAGAACGACCGTGTCAAAAAGCACTGCCCGGGCCATTACGGGTCAAAGGTCACTTGGGCCTCAGAACCCATTAGTCATTGGTTGTTTATTGCCGGAGCCCTTGGATGTCAGCGCGCTGGTCACCCATGGCAACCTAGCTGGGCCAATGGGCTGCGAGCCTGGCGGGGAACCTACTTTTCATGCCTCGGACTCACATTTATAAGTTGGGCCCACTCCAGGCCCATGAGAGAACGTGAAAAAATACAAACCCCCACCCCTCGGCCCCTCCAGGGAGGAAGAGGCGTCGCGAGCCGGCGCCGGCAGATCTCTGAGCCTGCATTGTCCTTGCCGTCCACTTGCGGGTGACGGCAGACGAAGACCATTCACATTAATATTTGTAAATTCAATTTAGTGTCCTGCAGTCGCCGATTATTTCTTAATTTTGTCTGCGGCGGCCTTGGGAATGGGAGGCGCCGGGCACCATGGGACGATAAGGAGCTCGCAGATGGCTCCATGGCGAGATGGTCCTGCGGCCCGGCTCGACTCCGCTTCTGAAAATATCTCGCTCTTTTCCCCCCCCGCCCGGCCATGACTGCCTCTTTGTTCGCGTATCTTCCCCCGCTTTCTGTGACAGCGGCTCGTTCTACTTTTAGCCTGCTTGATAGCCTTCCTCTTGGGTGTCTCTCCCTCTCTGTCTCCCTCTTATTTTTTATTTTTTTGTTTTCCTCCGAGTGACAGAGGAACATTTGGAAGTAATGAGTGGATGCTTATTATAAAAGTCAGAAAACAGGCAGCTGAGTCGATTTATCTGTGTCGCCTTCCTGCCGAGCGGGGATGCGTCCCCCCGCCCCATACCCTACACCCACCCCCCCCCGCTCCCACACCTTGTAGTGAAAACATCATCAATTACCCGTCTGACAGGCCCCTGGGACCCCAAGCGAGAGCCTCTCTGGGCCTCCTCGTCTTTGTGGGCCAGAGGAGAGGGAGGGAAAAAAAATTAGAGCAGCATACAGCTGCGGCCAGGAGTGGCGGCTGGGCAGCGTGGCTTTTGGCGGCGGGTGCGGGACGGGCGGGACTGGCGGGATCGGCAGGCGCCAGATTGTGGCGGCGGTGGTGCCCGGGGCGGCCGGCCCGGCATGTCGGCTTCCGGCAGCCATCTGGGAGATGATGGATGGAGCGGGATTTTCTCAGCTTGCACCTTCGCCGTATCTCTGGTTTCTCATAGCTGCCCCCCACCCCCGCTGGCCCCCCCCTCCACATTATGGCTCTCTTGATGGCAAGTAGCCACGTCGCTACACCTCTCTCTCTTTCTCTCTCGCTCCTCTCGTCGGTCTTTCTCTCTTTCTGCATCTTTAACATCCCCGAAGGGCATTTAAACTTTAATTCACCCAACCTCTGAACTCCAGCTCTGCGGCAGACAGGGAGGCGAAAGGGACATTCTTCCTCCCTTGTACTTTTGCGGGCGCATGGTCGCGATGCGGTCGAGGCCCGGACCCCGGGGTGGGCCCAATGCGCCAGAAAGGCCCAGATTCTGCTGGGATGGGCTGTTTTTATTCTCATCTTGGCCAGATCTGAGAGCGGGTAACGTGTCTGGCCCTGTATATTCAGT